TGTAGTAGCAGCAGCAGCAGCAGCAGCATCAGTAGCAGTAGCAATAGCAGTAGTAGTAGTAGTAGTAGTAGTAGTTGTAGTAGCAGCAGCAGCAGTAGACTGACGTCAGCTCCGCGCTCGCTGCAGGTCGCACATGGAGAATGCGATAAGTCTCTTCGAGAAGGCGATCTGGCTCGCGAAGACCGAAGTTGAGCTCGCTCACCTCTACTCGCTCTACGAGGCCGCCAAGGCGCAGCAGTCGATCGCACGCAAGCTCGGCATCGCCATGCCCAGCCTCTGATGTGCGGCGCCACCTAGCGAGACGACGTCGCCGTCGCCACGGCCTCCACCAGGTGTCGGTCAGGGCATCAGTGGTGGTGCGTGAGTGTCTGTGTGTGTGTGTGTGGGGGTTGAGGCTTGAGTACCGATAGGATGGTGGGTGCGAGACGATAGGGTCCTACCAGAGCAAAATCCACGCGGGTGTTCGCTGTCGGCGCCACTAGAGGTCGCCGCCGATGGGGGCGTACGCGATTTAACGTGCGTCGTTGACGTCGAACCGGGAAATTCGATTGCGATCATTACTGGAAGCGTCGGGGTCAGGTCGAGCCGACGGAAGGTTGCACACATGTCGAGGAATGATCCTGCGGGATGCGTTTAGGGTTTCCTAGTTTAGCTCTCCTGCGAATAGTAGTACACAGTGAACCAACACGAGTTCGATGATTGCGCATTCACGTTTCTATCGATCTGGGAAGTATTTATTCTGGTAGTTAGCCATTGAATGACATCGTTGTAGGTTTTAGATTCTTGGAAGTTATCAGTTTCGAAATACCGTGATTTTTTATTGGTATAATAGTAGTGAATTTCTATGATAATAATGTAATCAAGAGGTAATGATGCCTTGTACTCTTGTTCCCCCGATTTCATACCAGTGTGATTTTGTTGAACTATATTGCTAGTATTATACGTGCACGTAGGGTTATACTTGGATCAAGTAAATTAACCACCCTCCTCCTACACTGATGCACAAGGTGGTATCCACTTTGCTGGCATGTATGCAAATTTCATTACTCAAGTGCAGCTGGTCCGTAGCTGTAGTAGTGGTCCACCAAGCACCGTCACCATCCTCTTAACCATCAGGAACAATTGGCAGTAATTGACATAGAGACATGTTTACTAGGTTTGTCTTGAAGATTTATGCAAGCCGTGTGTATGTAGAGGAACTTCTGCCGGTATTTGGGTGTTGATGATAATGGGCAATAGTAGCCATGTTTTGTCGTGTACTCCACAGTTATATGTTACCTGATGCAACCTTGTTACCATGTAAACCTCTCCCCCCCTCTCTCTCTCGTAGTCTCTGTTATATAGTGGTACATATAGTCACAGCTGGTGTTCGGAGGCGTGAATGTGAAATAAACAGTCCGTGCGCGCGCGCGTGTGTGTGTGTGTGTATCCGACACCTAGCTTGTTGTTATACGTGTGTGGGTGTAGTGCGGGCGGGCAAGCAGGCCGACATGTACGTGTTCTGCCAATATGTGTGTACATAATTTTGCGAGCAGCCAGAAGGTTGTCTCTGTCGACCCTATGTTTGTGGCTTGTGAGCGTACAAGCCCATAAATCATTCATAGAAGAGGGAGTCGAGGTGTTTGCACGAGCGCGAACACGCTTTCCCGCGCGCGCTTCGCGAATGTTTGGGGCTGTAAAATGACGTTACATATATAATCATATACTGACTGTGGAACAGCATTAAAATTTTACATACAAATGTGAGCAAAACGTCTATTGTTCGTGTGGTTTTAATTGACTGGTAGCGTGATTGCTGGAAGGCAGGGCGGGGGGGGGGGAGGGTCGTTGTCGTAACTTTTACGCTGTCTAACAACTATCACCATGTTTATGAACTGATCACAAAACCCTGGCGATTTTAACAATTGTGTATACTTACGCGCACACAGGTACGAACGCACGCTTGCACGCATACAGTACAACACAACGTATGTGCGCATACGTACATACAAATGTATACATATACATAATATATATACGCATACATATACATATATATTTCTTTATTTGTATATTATCTTACAGTATCTTTATAACACAGTAGATTGACATCAGCATCCTCTTCCCTCTTCCTCTCATAGAATACCTATTCTCGTAGTCTAAGCATGCAAAGGAGCAGCAATTCTATTCTGCGGTACATTGCAATGTAACGGGGCAAATGCACAGAATACAAAAATAACATTTCTTCAAACACGTACGTATGTACACAATTCTGCGTTATTAAAGCTCAATCGTCACGATTATGGATCTAAAAAGATTCTTCCTTGAACAAATTTTATCTAGTTTTTGCACAAATTCACTAGAGATGCAACTTCGAAATCGGAAAATAAGCGAAATCAAAATCGCACGTTTCAACACTAAAATCCCTCCTGCATACTGGAATGAGAGTAAAACCGCATGACCGAAGCTTAGTGGAGTGTGAACCACACCCACCACATGTATCAACTACAGGAGTAAGTGACAGCACGTTGACAAACCCTTGACGTACATGAGCAAAGCGATTACGTGCTGAACCACCCCCTAACATCGACAATCGTACACGGGACAAAAGCAGTTGTTTAAAACATCCTTTAAAAAAACTACTCACCGGGAGGGATACGATATAACAACATACTTTGTCACATACCCCTCCCCCGCCAGGCAAAACATATTCTGCATTATCACACGAGTTCTCTTAATGTTAACACTGTTATTATATAGTTTAAAGTGAAATTTACCGATAAATGAAACGCTATCTCGCACGTAACAGTTGACATCGTTTTGAAATGTGTCTCACGATTACGAGCGAACGTATATATACATTCTCACCATTCATAACCAGACACGCATACATGAGTAAAACTTAACAACGTACGTTCACGTTAGGGAGACAATGCGCGCGGAAGGGGGGCTATATTAGCTACACGTTCGGTACATAATTACATTAATTAACTAATGAAAGAAACCTCGCTGAAATTCTACGCCCTAGTTCGTATCTTCGATCACAGACATGCAAAATCCTCCATTAGGCCCACCTTACCAACTGCTAGTATCAAGGGTTCTCTCTCAAAAATAATCAAAAGTAACCCTGTTGAATCCGGTGTATGTGTGTGTGTGGGGGCGGAGTGGGGCTGTTCTCTCAATCAAAATTCATGGAAAATAATCATGCAGGTAGAGTCGCGGTCTGTCTCGCAACACCAATTGAAAATAATTTAGTAGCATCGGGGGTTTCTCTCAAAATTTATCGAAAATAATCCACAAGAATCAGGCGGGTTCCCTCAAAATTCATTGAAACAAATCAGGTAGAAAGAGATTTCTCTATCAAAATAACCGCATGTAATCCGGTAGAATCCCGGGTGCCTGCCTCCCAAAATTCATCAAAAATAATCCGGTAAAATCGGGGGATTGGAGAGGTTGTCTCTCAAAATTCTTGGAAAATATTCCCGTATAGAAACTCATTGAGACCTGCTTGGACAACCAATGGACGTTTTACCGCCACATGCTAGTACGGTTAAAGTGATCAACGTCTGCCCAGGTGGAAAGAAAACGAGGACATACTGGGGCACATGAGGTTAGGCTTAGGTTTAGGTTTACGATACGGTTAGCGCTAGGATTAGATCTGTGTTTAGGGTGGGTTACGGGTACGGTTAGGGTTAGGGTTAAGATTAGGATTGGGTTAAGGTTCCGACACTACATATGGAGACAGATACATTCAGCGCCAATACGAACATAAACTGTTATTATAAGTCAGGGTCATGATCACGGTTAGGATTATGGTTAGGGTTAGGATTGTGGTCAGGGTTAGGATTGAGGTTAAGGTTAGGATTAGGGTCAAAGCTAGGGTTGGCCTCACGGTTGAGGGTACGTTCTGACAGTAGATACATCATTTCAGAGAAACTAAATGGAGCCTACTCATATATATATATATATATAACCAGGAGCGTATAATGACAAATACGCTCCGCAAATTTGTCATTATACGCTCCTGATATAACCAATGGCTGAATGTTGTTGCGACGGTGAGCGAGGACGAACATCGGCTATTAACAGGAACATTGTCCACACATCAGCAAAGAGTAGGATTGTGCAGAGAGGTGTTTACAACGCCACTACCATACATTTCACCCGCATTCATCTACCGAGGGATTAGTTATCAGCCGCTAGCTGCTATCCGCGTGACACACTCTGACACACGGGATGAATGAGATCAATCGATGACGCAAGTGTATCGACTCTCTCTCTCGCGCCCTCTCTCTCTCTCTCTCTCTCTCTCTCTCTCTCTCTCTCTCAGTCGTGCATGCACTTTGCTATTCCTCTCTCCCCCCTCTCTCTCTTTCTCCCTCTTCTCCCTTCTCTCTCAATTTTCTCTCTTCCTCCCCTCTCTCTCCCTCGCGCTCTCTCTTCCTCTCTCTCCCTCGCTCGCTCGCTCGACAGTGGAACGGGAAATTTTAATATCGATAAAACTTCCATTAACGGAATGAAGCGCTTACACATCAGGCCAGGTTTTGCTGGAAAACAATCGCAGCTTTGAATTTTTTAATATCTCTTCGGAGCCTCTCTTCTCCCCTGCCCTCTCTCTTCTCTCTCTCTCTCTCTGTGCGCGCGCTCTTTCTCTTCACTCCTTAAAATCTCTCTCCTTACTAAATATCTCCAACGCTCTCCCACACTCCTCCTTTCTCCCGCTGAATTCTGCGCGAACGCATGATTTATTAATGAACCACGTTTAGAAAAGATTCGGGACGAAACTTCTTCGTATACAGCGATGGTGAAATATTAGGACAGGCCCAACTGCAAGCGACTGATCACTGTCGTAAAAAACGACTCGCCAAACAATGCTGCCGATTTCCTAATGCTATAAATGTGATCGCGTTGAATTGCCACTCGCCGCCCCCGTTTCCCACTCTCTTACGCCTGTCATATTCAATCTCGGTCTTCCTTATCTCTCTCCATCTTGCCATTAATCTACTCCATCACTGTCATGTTAATTTTCCATTGCTCGCTTCCCAAGTCTCCTTCGCTTGGCCCCCCCGCTCCAATGAGCGTACTCATATGAACTTGATACCCGAACGAATGGATTACGCGCGTTTTCAGGTCTTGAAAATGAGTGCAACTTGCTGTCAAAGTCCTTACCGGACCACACAATAATCCTTTTTGCGATAACCCGTCGCAGAAGGTAGGCCGCCTTGTTACACAGCAATACTCGGGCGCTCCTTTTACGCTCCAGGTACGGCTCAGAACACCTTTCATGATTCATGCCTTTAGCCGGTGGGATCGCATCCAATCCATAGTAAACAACCTTATTTTGATCATCTTTACACATTACAAGATGGCCAAAGCTTAACGCAGTACGTAGCCAGTTCAGCATACCTGGACTGCGATGAGATAAGAGCGAGATCGGTAGCCCGGAGAGTAGAGAGATGAGCGGAGAGACAGAGAGGAGCGCGCGCGCCCCGACTCGAGATCGGAGGACCGGGGAAGCCCGGAATCCTCCCGCAAGCGAGTAGGAGGAGGAGAGAGTAAGAGAGAGAGAGAAGAGAAGAGGAGAAACGAATTAGAGAGCGAGAAGAGCTGATTCGATAATTAACAAGCGCACGAGTTACCAAGCCTTTAGTCGAGCCCATAGAAACCAAAATATTCATAAAAGACTCCGTACCCCGTCGCCTCTCCCGGCCCGTAATCAAAGGCAAAGCCTAATTTATACACGACCCGACCTGCCGGTTGTATAGCTACGGCCCGGTTATCTAGCCTACTTAGCTGACTAGTTCGGTGCCGTATCCCCTTCCGCTCGCTAGTAGTTCCAGGCGGGGAGCCGATCGTTTACGTCCAAGAAGTTAAGTGCCTGTAGTGGCCGATGTGACGATGTACAAAGGCAAATCATGTTCGACTCTAATGCAGACCACCCATATTTGCAATCCCACATCACGGAACAGCATACCCATTCACCACCACACACCCAACGCGCCGCGCCGATTCTCATGCGCAATCGCGTGGACACCATGCGCGCGAGATTACCCACGTGGCAGCCAGTTTCCCACTCGCTTTGTTATACATACTTTAGTCGGCTAATCATAAAATGTTTTGCGATTTAGTGAGAAAGGAGGAAGGATTAGAAAATTTGCATTTTATATCACTAAAGCCCGGCGCACACGTGAGTAATTTTACTCAAGTAAAATGATGCATGCGTTAAAATACTCACGCGAAATATTTTTCAGCGTCCGCCGCACACGTGAGTAAAATTACTCAAGGTATAAGTGCGCTAATGTAGATCACGTGACTGATGCGCAGCCAATACTGGGCGCAGTCATCTTTAAAATGATTTAAACGCATGCGCTGTGAGTACCAGTGTTGAGTAAATTTACGCAGCTAGCGCGCACACGTTGAGTATTTTGACGCACGAGTCAAAAATTATCAAACATCTTTGATATTGAGTTTCTTGATGCATGCGTCATGCAACGAAAATCCGGTGCACACGTGAGTATTTTGACGCATGCACCATTTTACTTGAGTAAAATTCCCAGGTAAAATTACTCATGTGTGCGCCGGGCTTAAGAACATATGAAAACACGCACACGCACACAAACATGCATTGACACATATTCATATGTTCATGATATCACTAGTCTATGGGACCGTTCGTTGCTTCTTCATGCAATTGGTGAAGACAGATCAGCTGCAAACAAGACAATGCACGGAAACTGGAGGTGGGTGGAAAGTGAAAGCAGGCCAAAGGACAGAGTTCATTATCACGCACGAGCGTTCATTTACCACACGAGAATTTTTACGTAGCCCCTTGTCCACAGTGACACGATATAGTTACATTACTGACAAACGTAAGGTAGCCCCTCCTCTATATACTATTTCCTTCAGCCGCCTCTCATTTGCTTCACAGAAAATAACAACGTTCCTTAAAATCCCGATAGGTGTACGAACTAAGGAAGATGGTGCCTCCCTCCAACCAAGCTTTCAATTAGCCTGCGTAAACATGATCAACAACAACCCTAACCGGAACATATGGCCATTCATTCTGAATAGGCTCACGAACTATATATATAATATATTTATATTTATATATTTATCTATCTGTGCATGTGTGCAGTGCATGTATCTTGGCTAACTCATACATCGTCAACAGCGCTAAACATAAAAATATCTCTCAAATATCCAATTTACAACTTCACCATACAAAAGTAACTCACGTGTCACGCTCTGTCGCACATGACACTATGTATCCCCGGGACTTTGCTTTAGCTGATATTATTACACAAAAAACACATATGAGCCTCTACGTACATAACACGACTGCCAAAAAACTACAACCTGCTAAAATCGGCAGTACTTTCAATAAAATATCAACCATTACATATTAAAAACATCTTTAGAGCTGCTTAGAGAAGGTTACTTCCACAACAGAACACTATAATATAGACTCGTGTAGATAATACGTCAACAAGTGAGCATCGCTGCGGGTCTCCACAGCCCCGCAGTATGCTGCAAGTATCTCAATAAAAGAGCTGATATCGTACTCTCTCTCTCTCTCTTCCTCTCTCATCGCTCACCGAACAATAAATAAATTCTCTCAGAGCAATCGTCATGCGCACTACGTTACTCATGCTGTACTCACGATGCTCATGTCTCTCCACTCTCTGCTGTCGTCATCAACCCAGGCGCCGTTTCTAACGTTCTCGCAAAACGAAGGCGATAAATTTCACCTCGATAATAAAATACTCACAATGCGCGCGTGTGCATGCGTGCGCGTGAGGGGTTGTGTGTGTGTGTGTGTGTGTGCGTGTGCGTGTGCGTGTTTGTGTGTGGGTGCGTGTGCGTGTGCGTGTGCGTGTGCGTGTGCGTGTGAGTACGCGCGTGTGAGGTTGTATGTGCGTGCGTGCGTGCGTGCGTGTATAGATGTACTCTTATGTCAACGTGAGAACACAGCAGATAACGTACAGCCCAGCTGTTGATCCCACCTATATATCACATTGGAAAGCCACGCACCGGCTCAACGCCGACGGCGCGCGCATTCCGAAACGCTAGTCGTTCTAAACTTCGCTCTCGATCGTCTTTTCTCGAACTCTCAAAGTCGCGACGCCCGAGCGTGATTCGTCGCCACGGCGACAGACTCCAGTGAACGCGAGAATCCCTTGTCCGACTGGTCGGATTTCACGCATGCTGAGTGGTGTGCTTATAAAGTGCATAGCTGCCGTCTGTTTACATTCTAACACACGAACACGCACACACGCATGTACGCACGCGTGCATGCAAGCACGTGGCGCGAGAGCCACCGAGCGCACGATCCACTATTCTGGTCACTGGTCGCTGCGGCGATGACCTTTTGATTGGCGCAGAGGGGAGACACTGACGATGATCATGTTGTTCCCGGCACTCTGACGGCACGGTGAGACGATCTTGGTGACAATCGGTGACGGTCAGGATGATGGCTCTTGACGATCGGTGACAGCCAGTGACGAGAAGTGACGGTTGGGTTGATGGCCCTTGAAGATCGGTGACGGTCGGGGTGATGATCGATGATGGCCGGCGACAATCAGGGTGACAGTCACGCTGATGGCAGGTGACAGTTGGTGACGGCAAGTAACAATCAGCGTAACAATTGGTGACGGCTGGTAATGATCAGGGTGACGATTGAATTGACAACTGCCAATGATCAGGCTGATGACCGGTGACAATTGGTGACGATAACGGTCACGACCCATGTCACGATCTGGGTGATGGCAGATCGCATTTCAGCGAGCGGGGTCTGGGCCTACCCCAGATACGACGCCGATAGCGACAGTGGCAACTCACGCCTGCCTTCAGGGGCGCCACAGCATCACCGTTGCCTCCACATCTACTTCAGGGGGCGCCACGGCATCACTATCACCCCCGCCTTACCTGCCAGGGGGTGCCACGCGCATGCACTATGCACCTCCACCTACCGCCAGCGGGCGCCACGTCATTACTGTCCCGCCCACACCTTGCCTTCAGGTTGGGCGCCACGCTCGCTCGAGCGGGCCCACGGCGGAGCGCCGACGTCACAGCTTAGGGCCCAGGCGACAGGCGCTGCACAGCGCTTGACGCGCAGCAGTCGCGGCGTCAGCTGCCGCCAGCCACACGCCTGCTCGTCGGAAACAGGGGACCGCCGCACCGCCACTCTAGCGCACGCCGGCGCGCGCGAGCACAAACACGGGTCGGCGCGGCGTTAGCGCCGAGCGACGGCCGGCGCGCTCGCTCCAGTGCACGCTCAATCGGCCGGCGGACACGGCGCGAGCGCGCGACTGTCGTCGGATGCACGCGATGCGAAACACACGCTCGCGGGCGACGCCGCCGCGTACAGCCCGTCGTCGCGCTGACCGTCGGGCGCAGTGAGGTACGCGGGGCAGAGGTCGCGCTTTATGGGCCTGCGCAGCGGCACCAGGGCTCACATCCGCGGTCGGAGCTCGAGGGCTGCCGGTATCGCAGCCGCCGGTCCGTGCGGCTCGAACGAGTGTCGTGGCCCGCGGAGACGCTGGGAGACGAGTGGAGGCGGAGGCACCGCGGCGGGGTCGATGGGGCACCGGCCGACCGCCGTCGCCGTCGCCAGCCGTCGACCGCCGCCGCCCGTCGCCTAGCAGGTTCAGGCCGCAGCGGGTAGGCGGGAAATAGCGCGGCCAGCTCGAGCGAGCCGATCGCGTCGCCGCCTGGCGCACGCGCAGGCCTTTCCTCGCACGCCGCAGCCCGTCGGCGCTCGGCGACCTCGTCGACCTCAGCGGTGTGCGTGGGGAGAACCCGAAGGCGGTGCCCGAGGGAGGCGCAGTCGCGGGCGGGCCACGTGCGCAGGGCAAAGTGCGGAGCACCGCTTCGCCTTCCTCGTCGGGATGCTGCAAGCGACGCCGAAGCCATCACAACTTACATTCCGCAGACATGCCATGAGTTGGTGCGGGGTTAATAAAAGCAAAATAATTTGAGAGGCTACAGCTAATCGAAAGAAGATTTGATGCGAATGTAGGTAGCTAGGGATCTATGTAGCTATGGATGCTGCCCGTATAGGCGGCCAAAACCGCCCAGCGATCTGCGATGCAATTGCACAGGGCCATCGCTAACCCGGGGAGTGTTCGTTAGCGGAAAAAACCTGCAATCCGTCAAACGCACCGAAAAAGCCGTGAAAAAACCCCGCAAGTCGTGAAGCTTTCACACAAGTGTCAGCACCTGACTGTACAGCTGCCACACAGAGAGAAAACGAGCAACTCATTCCATCGCTGCCCGAAACCGAAACGATTGTGAAACCCGAAACGCAGCACCGAGCGACAAACAGACGCACAGCCAGTTCAAAGGTTACGACTGCAGTGATTTAGCAAACAGGCGTTGAAATGAGAAGCGCAACCCATTCGGGACATGCTGGGACGGTCCATACGGGCAGGCCGGACGTGAGGGAAGCTCAACAGTTCGAGACGCCAGGAATCGTTAACATATGTCCACCAGGAAATAACACGTAAAAACATTGTTATCAAGAGGGTGTCAAAGAAAAGTACCAACCAGTCGGACAGGCGGGATTAATAACGTGTTTGTCATGTACACCAGATATTACTGATTATGTCCAGTGGTCTAAGTGGGGTTGGGCTGTCATTACTAAAGTCCATACGGAACAGTTTTCCAGGCCGGATAGCTGATGAGATCGATGCGGAAATATCAGAGCTGTGCAAGGGTGATTGTCGAGTTGGACCCAATGTTTCCGAGTGTCGCCCTATATATAGGAGTAGAATGAGATAGCACGATTTTACCCAGCGCAGCGAGGGACCAGCAGCTAGTGCGAATTAAAGGAGGATACAGATTGCATCGATATGAACGCGACACCTCCTGCTGCGCTCCGAACTGCTACGCGGCAGCTACCACTGCGGCGGCTACTCACGGCCTGCCAGGCGTACTACGGCGGCTACGACGGCGCTGTGCACTACGGCTGCCGCCTTGCTGCTACGACTCCTGCTGCTACGGCCTGCCTTGCTGCGCGCGGCTGCTGCGGCTCCTACTCGTGCTATTACTCACTACTACTGCTGCTACTGCCGACTGCGACTGCTACTGCGACTGCTCGCTGCTGCTGCTGCTGCTGCTGCTGCTGCTGCTGCTGATATGGCTACTGATACAGCCGCTATTGCTGCTGCTGCAGCTACTACTGCCACTGCTGCTACTTCTGCTGCTGCTGCTGCTGCTACTACTGCTACTGTTACTGCTGCTGCTTCTACTACTGCCACTGCTACTGCCGCTACTACTGCTGCTGCTACTGCTGCTGCTACTGCTGCTGCTGCTGCTACTAATATTGACAATATAATGCTGATGGCGATGACGAAAGCTTAGAGGCCGTCTTCGCTACGTACACACCTGATGTGCGGCTGCTGCAATGGCGACATGGTTGCCAGGTCCATTTGCATCTCCATGTCAACGTCGTCGTTCATATCACTCGAGCATCTGCAAGCACCTTTGAAGATTGATCACACAGTACGATTGATCACGACCATTCACGATCAATGGAAGATTGATTACACAGAGTGATTGATCACGACCATTCACAATTGCAGTACGATTGATCACACAGTGTGATTGATCCTGACCCTTCACGATCGATAGATGGTTTATTACACAGAGTGATTGATCACAACCATTCACGATCGATGAATGATTGATTATACAGTATAATTGATCACGACCATTCACGATTGCATTACAATTGATCACGCAGTGTCATTGATCATGACTATTCACGATTGCAGTAAGATTGATCCTGACCATTCACGATTGCAGTATGATTGATCACGACCATTCACAATTGCAGTACGATTGATCATGCAGTGTGATTGATCATGACTATTCACGATTGCAGTATGATTGATCATGCAGTGTGATTGATCACGACCATTCACGATTGTAGTATGATTGATCACATAGTGTGAATACTCATGATTGTTCTGTCTTGTACCGTAAATCCGTGTATACTATATACTAGCACACATGTTCATATACACATGTGTATCTGAGTAGACCTGCATATCAGAACATATACCAAACATGTGATGTACTAATGCCACCGTGTCTATCTGTTTGAGCATATACTTAGAATGACTTGTATTGATATTACTGTATCTATATGTTTGAGCATATACCTGGAATGACTTGTACTGATATCACTGGACCTGCGTCTCTGACAGCTGCTAGATTCAGGCAGCTGGATCTGCTGTTCTATGTCCTCCTGTATCATGTGCAGGTTCTGAAAGGCCATGGGCGGAGGGCTGTTCCTCGGCTGCGGAAAGCTCTGCAGGCTGCGGGGTAGTGAGAAGAAAAACGAAACATAATTAGACTCATGCAAGCTCGAAAGAAATGAAAAGTTCACTGGATTCGCCTTCTCGATATTGTACAAGCACGAGGTCTAGAGATTTTTGGCAGAATTAGTGAAAACCTTCTCCCTAAGATATAAACCCTGGTCATATAACAACAGGACATTCCCCCATGTACGTACCAGCCCACCATTCCCCCATGTACCTACCAGCCCACCATTCCCCCCATGTACCTACCAGCCCATCATTCCCCCATGTACCTACCAGCCCACCATTCCCCCATGTATCTACCAGCCCATCATTCCCCCATGTACCTACCAGCCCATCATTCCCCCATGTACCTACCAGCCCATCATTCC